TTTAACAATCGAGACATTATTTTGGATCGACATGCAGAGCGGGCCCTAGGCTATTGCCTCGTAACCAAAGCCAACAAGGCAATGGCCTAGGAGGCCTTAGATAAAAAATAATAATAATAATAATAGTGCTTACTCTTTATATGGGAAGGGACAAGATCAGGGACGGATCCAGGACCGGACCCTAAATCCGTCCCTGGACAAGATAGGCTTCTTTTGGAGATGAAAATGGAAATGGAAAAAAATGGATAGGAAAATGGAAATGAAGAAATTGATGAGAAACCAAAGCAAGAAAATGAAGACACCCTACAATCCCTAGTGAGCCAAGAACATGTCCATTTTGGGTTTTTTTGTTTAATTGTTTTTTTTTTTTCCCTTTTCTCTTTTTGATTTTCAATTTTGTGATCTGAGAAAATGTTAATTTTCTACGGAGATTAAAAATTTACAACGTTGGAGAGGTTCATTAATGGACTTTTTTTTAATATATAGATTTATGTATTTATACAAATTTGAGGTTTTATGGCGTCTGCTTAACAATCGATTGTCCATAGCTTGACGAAGTATATGATATAATCGCTATACAATTCATGTTCATTTTTGCAATCCCATGCCACCAGTTTCAGTCATGCCCTTCTACCTTCCAGTACGCACCCACAAATACATAGAGACATTTATCTATTTTGTGTGTGGATCTACGTGCTTACGAGTATAACGTGGAACAATCTACTTAAAAAAAAATTTTGAACGTTGTGAGAAATAATAGAACAGTTTATATTTAAGAGACTCATAATAATTAATTACTTAAAACCTCAAAATTTTTAGGATCAACCTTATTGACATGTCTCAATGGTTGAGGTGTAAATATTCGCCCCTGATATGTGAGCGTGTGATTGTTCATTTTGTGTCAGATAGATAATAATTATTCCAGTATGTAACATTCAAAATTAAGTTAGGGCATCAAGTTGGCCAATTCAAGAAGTTCAATACTCGGAGCCACCCAATACACTCGAGAATTTCGTAAATGAATTCGTTCAATTCCGCGTAATTACTAGAATCAAATTCGAACCGGAACCATCGATTTCAGTTCGAATCAATTCTACCTATAACATTTTTGTTAAGGAGTTGTGGGATGATATTACAAATTATATTCTCAATATTTAGCAAGAATAGAAGAAATAAATGTGTTACTAAATACATATTTCAACACTTTCTCAATTTGAATCAAATATGCAACCAAATAGCACCCATTGCCTATGAATTCAATTGTTCAAATGAATGAATCTGATTTATTAGGGCCCTTACTGCTTGTCTTTGCAAACTTGTTATTTTGTGGACCGGTTCATTGGGTCAAGATGAATAAATTGTAAAAAATAAATAACTTGTGAAAATATAAATGTAATTTCAGAGTCAGGTACTCACGATTTCAGTTCAAGAATCGATCTTAAACTTGTTGATACTCTATTCCTAATTTATTTCTTTTGAAATCGGAGCAGAACCTTTAGTTCAGTATCCTAGACATTTGAGAATGGACTAAAAGAAAAAGAAAAATAACGAAAATAAAATAAAATTGAAAGAATATTAATTTGATTATTATAATTTAATCATTTTTTGTATTAAAAAAAAAAAATACTAAAGTAGCACTTAGATTTGCAAATTTAAATTATATGTAAAACAATTGGCACCTACACACGTACGTAAGAGGAGAAAAGAGAGAGACAAAACAGAAAAGAGATTCTATGGTATATACCTGTGAGTATAGAATAGAGAACTGTTTATATCTCATTGGCTCGACCTCCCAAACAGCACAAGAAACTCTGGAAACGAAGTGAACAGGGGAAAATAGAAACAAGAAGGCCAAGCGTCTGAGTTTTTTGCAACAAAAAAAGGGGGGAAAAAAACCTTTTCCGATGCTCGAGAACTGTGAAAATGGCTGGATAGGTGGGATTTGGAGAGCGTCGTGTTGGCCTCTCTGAATTCCCAAAATCTATCCGTTCCTTCTTTACAGTGAACATCAATTTCAGTAATTTTTTTTTTGGACATATCCTAGGAATTGCTAGGAACTTGGAAGTGAAAGGTGGGGGCAGTCTCTTCTTCTTCTTTTCTTTTTTGCTGAGGCTTGATTCATTTGATCAGAAACTTATGAAGATGGAGGTTATCAACTGGTACGGTTCTTTACTCTGCAATTCTTGTATTATTGTATATATTATGACAATACATGTTTGCATATGTTATTTTTGTATATGTGTGCTTGTTGACTCGAATTGCTGTTTATGGACATTTAATTTACGTTTGAATTTTGAATTTAGTTTTTTTTTTCCTGTATTAGGATCTAGGGGCATAGAATTGGAGTCTTATAATTCGCATTCCAAGAATATGCTAAAAGTAATAGGATTTTTTTTTTGTCATTCTAATTACAGTGTCCAATTCTCTGTCTCCAACAATAGCTTTCGGGTTTTATTTGCCGTAGCGTTTATTAAGTTTGAAGCTGTAGAAAAGATCCAGCAAGAGGGGAAAAAAAAGAAGGAGTCACTGAAAGTTTTTCTTTTTCTATTTTCTTTCTTTTTTTTTTTTTTTAATCTTTTTTGGGTGCTGGGGGTAGGAGGGGGAGATCTTGCTAAGTAGACTTAAATCATGTTGAATTTGATTATTTTCAAATATGTGCATGGCATCTAGTTCTGTATTTCATGGAAATACAAAATTTGTTTTAGGCTATTGTAGCGTTTTAAAAGGGCTAAAAAGAAATGACGGAGTTTTTAATTAGTATCAAATGATCTTCAGGTGATAAAGCTGAATTCAGAGTTTTCTTTCGCTTCTAGTAGAGGCCTTGACGGGCTGAGCATTTGACCAGTAAGAGATCAGGCTAAAACAAGGATAATAAATGGAGATGCTAGTGAAGAAAATGCTAGCATTTAAAGAGAACTCTTCTTTTAGATTGTGTAAAATTTTTCATGTATGAACAACTATGATGCACATGCACAGACACGAACACGTGTGTCCGACATGTTTTAAATACACTGGCACATGATTTTTTTTAAAAAAATAATGATACGACACGTCGGCAATACGTTAATTAAATTCTTTAAAATTTTTCATTTATATATTATAAATTTAGTTTTATACTTGTTATTAATTTTTCTTGTTGAAATCATGAGTACCTATTTGTTATTTACTAATAACTTTGAGTTAAAAATATATAATATTTTTAATAAAAAAGAAAAATGTTTATGGTAAAGTGTTCAAGGACATGTCGAACACGGACATGCTATCATAGTTGAAGTGTCCGTATTATAGAGATGAACAACATGATTTTGATATGCTTCTCTGTTGCATTACCTACTTGAACTAAACATTAAGCGCTCTTCTTTGCGCTTAAAGTACGTGTGTTTTGTTAATTATGATGTCACTACACTTCTAGCAGTTTTTGTAAATGTATTATCGTATAGCCAGACAATTCTGTATTAGGTATGAATTCTTTGTGGGAAACATTTGTTGCTTGTCGAAAATCTTATTTCTGTATTCTTCAAAGATACAGTTTGCATGATCCGCTTTTCTATTGTTGTTAGGCTTATATTCACTCTCTTTTCAATGGCCAGTGTACATGCAGGTTCCATGGACATTTAAAACTAGCAGCTACAGTTGTCTGACTTAAGAAGAGTGGTGATTAATAACAAAGATTCATCGAACTCTAGCTGCAGGATATAATAATAAGATTAAGTGTTGTTTCCAGTGGCTTGGCTATACTTGTTCTCAGTTGAAGCTCTTTCTGTGCGACAAATCTCTCTCCTTTGGCATTGGGTGGAGCTGATATTAAATTCGGCTACACTCAGGCACATCTCCTTTGGCAATACATATATGATTTTTGAAAGAACGAAAAATTTCCTTCAAGTCTTTAGCAATATATAACTGTGTGTGATATTGGTTCAGGGCAAATCTCCTTTGGCAAATTTGAAGGGTTTCGACAATTTAAGCTCTCATCTTATAAGATCAGTCAGGAATCCAGTCTTTGAGGCGTAGCTCCAGTTAGGAATATCTGACTTGGGATTTCTACCAGGACCTCTTCATTTCATGAAATTTTTTGGCTCGACCATACCTACTGGTCGGAATTTTTGGTTCATTTTTGGGCAAATCTCCTTTGGCATTTTGGAGTCTTGAATAGACTCCGTTTATCCCTTTAGTGGGCAAATCTCCTTTGGCATTTAATCTCCATTCCTGGAGATAATACATTACAAAAAAATTGGACTATAAACAGAGACACACTGCACTGTTTATCCTCTGATTTTTGGCAATACTACTAATTCAAATTGCAATTTGCAAGTTATTCTTCAGTCTGGCCGAGGCCTACACTCCAAATTAGTCAGTCACGGTTGAAGTGTAACCCAAGCGGTAAACCTCTTTCTACTCTCGTCATTACTATTTTATTCTTCTTTTTCATTTACTCAGCTTCATCAGGAAACAATCATACGCAGCTCAAGTTTCTTAATGTGAAACGAGTTTATTTGATGATTGGTGTTGATTTGGGTCATTTCGATTTAAAATTTAGTTCTCATCTAAGTAAAGTGAAATAACCAGAAGAACTGATACAATTACCATAATTCATGTTCTAGTATGAGTTATCTAAACTCAAGCTTCAATCTACAAGTGAATTTTATTTCATTTGCTAAATTCTGGGGTGATAATTAGGTCTTTTATAGATGAACATCGCAGAGGAACATTGAGTAAGGCAAAAGTAAGAACATTATTTATATTTCATCCTACTTCTATTTCTCAACAATCTTTGTCTCGCATACTTCATCTACAATTACGATAATCCATGTTCTAGTTAGAGAAGAACATCACTGGGAAGATATATTTTTTGAGTAACGCACGAATGAGAACATTATTTAGATGGTATCTTACTTCCATTTCAACAATCTTCATCTCCCATGCTTCATTTTTTTGGTAATAGTGTCGTTTATAATGAATTTGCAGTGGGATTATAACTGAACTGAACTGGTATAAGTATTATGGATTTGCTAGACAGTTACTTCGACAGTCTCAGTGAGAGCAGCAGTTCTGAGGATCATGATGACATTGAGTCTCTGTATGGAGGACAGGCCTGTTCTATTTTATCTAGTCTAGAGGAAACTATTGGAAAGATTGATGATTTCCTCTTGTTTGAGAGGGCATTCACGCATGGGGACATAGTTTGCTTAGCATCAGACCCATTGGGCCAAATGGGAAAGGTGATCAATGTCGAATTAACAGTTGACTTGGAAAATATCTATGGAAGAAAAATACACAGTGTAAATTCCAAAAATCTTCAGAAGATACGTTCCATTTCAGTTGGAGATTATGTAGTTAGTGGGGCATGGCTTGGAAAAGTGGAAAAGATAGTTGATCGTATCACTGTCCTTTTTGATGATGGTACAAAGTGTGAGTTAACCACAATTGGTCCGGAAAAGATTATTGCCATTTCTCCTGATATACTTGAAGACTCGCAATACCCTTTCTACCCAGGACAGAAAGTTCAAGTTGATCCCTCTTCTGTTTCCAAATCAGTCGGTTGGTTATGTGGTACAAGAAAGAATAAAAACAACCAAGGCACTGTCTGCAATGTGGACGCTGGACTTGTATATGTTGACTGGCTCGGCTGTGCTTCTGTCGATGGTGAGAAATGGTCTACTCCCCCATGTTTACAGAATTCAAAAAATTTAACATTGTTGTCCTGTTTTCCCCATGCAAACTGGCAGCTTGGTGATTGGTGTGTTCTTCCAGTGGAGCAGATTTTTCCATGTGCATTTTCCTCCGGGCTGGTCAAAGGGCATGTGCAATCAAAAAAGATACTTCCAAGAAACAACCTCAGTCCTAATTTTCAGGAGATTTCTGTTATTGTTCGGACAAGGACTAAGGTTGATGTCCAGTGGCAGGATGGCAGCCAATCCGTGGGATTAGATTCACATTCTCTGTTACCTGTAAATATTGTTGATGTTCAGGATTTTTGGCCTCATGCATTTGTTATGGAAAAGGGAACATATGAGGATTCTAATGGTTCCTGTGACCAAAGATGGGGTGTTGTGAGAAGTGTGGACTCAAAAGAACGAACAGTGAAGGTAAAGTGGTGTAATTCCACTGCTTTCGGGGAAAAAGAAGTAGAGGAGATTGTGAGTGCTTATGAATTGGTTGAGCACCAGGACTACTCATACTGTCTGGGTGATGCAGTATTTAGAATGCAAAAGAGTGGAGTTTTGGATCTAGCAGATGAAAACTGTATCACTAACCACACAATCTCTAAAACTGGTGTTTCAGAAGAATCTGACCTTAAGGCTAATAATAATGGTGAAGATCTGAATAGATATTCAAAGAGCAAGTTTTTATCTCATATTGGTTTAGTAGTTGGCTTCGAAGATGGGGTTATTGAAGTGAAATGGGCTACTGGTGCCACTAGCAAGGTATGCATCCTCCTTGTGTCTTGAAATTTATCCTCTTCTCAGTTGAACATGAAATGTAGTTTTGCAATTAGTTCAAACATTTATTGGTTGTCGATTAGTCATGTATAAACTCACTTTTTTATAATTAATTTTCATTTCAGATGTTTTGTGTGTATTGGGGAAGTTTAGTTGATTTGTGTAGGTGCCTATTTATGGAGAATATAGTATTGGTCCTCTGACGTTATATACCCTTTTGTGGATAATGATATTTCCTTTCCGTCCTCTTCTTCACCTTTCTCATTAATTACAAAAACAATTGTACAATGACTTGTTTTAAAACTCTCATTGATTACTCAACAATATCTTAGGTCGCACCATATGAGATATACCGGATTGATAAAGGTGATGGAACAGCCACTTCTATGCTTGATGATGAAAATATTCAGCAATCAGATGGGGACACTGCAGAACACGAGAACCAACTTTTGGGCCAGAAAGAAAAGGTAACATAGACCTCTCTTATATTGTAAAGAAGTGAATAATTTCTGAAGTTGGACAATAACTCGTAGCAAGTTGGTACAAGAGTTCAAATATTGGAACTAGTTACAAAAAGTATCAAGGGTCAAACCTTTATTCTCCACCAAAAGAACTGGTGATGGTCTTTTGATAGTATGTGCAAACTTTGGTGTACTGGAAATGTAAATTTCCCACGTAATCAATAATTTCTGGCTTAGAGAAATTTTGACCTTTTAAGTTCTGTTCGTATTAGAAATTTTTTATGAGTAAAAAAATTTCTAATGTTGGAGAACCAACCCTGAGATGTCATAATAACAATCTAAAAATTTAGAGGGAACATCAAATCATGACCAACTCAGTTGTTGGTAATAGGTGTAGAATGCATATTTCAATTTTAGTAATTTTTGAAGGTGCTAAATTTAAATGTATTTGCCAGGATGTGTTGGATTTGAACTACAATAATTTAAAGGATTCTAGTTCATATTCCCTTTATCAAGTTGCTATTGGGGTTTTCACTAGTATCACTTCGAGCCTGGTGGGGTCTTTGGGTTCCGCTGTTGTTTGTGCATACAAACGTACATCACAGGATGTGCCAAAACTCGGATTACCCAATGAGGAGGAAGCCCTAGAACTTTGCACTATGCACACTGTTGATGAACCATTGGTAGCGGATGATTTAGAGGTTTATGGAAGGATGACTTCAGAGCCGAGGTCCAAAGAAGCTAACAAGGACACCATCTTGCCATCTGGAAGCAAGCTTCCCGAACATTTTAGGCTGTTTGATATGGTTTGCGGTGGTTTGGACCACCACTTTGTTGATGGATCTGGCACGGGAGTCCTGCAATCTCCTCAGGTTAGATATAGAATCTAAGTTCTTACAAAAGTCGATCAGTTTGCTTGTTCAGATGTTGGTTGAATTTTGGTTTGTGTACAGATGAAAAGAAGCTGGCTTAAGAAGGTTCACCAAGAATGGAGCATTTTGGAGAAAGATCTTCCTGGTGAGAAATATGTTTTTGAGTTTACCATTATGTAAACAATATAAATATGCATTTCCAAAATGTACATGCAGTGTAAAAGTTGAAAATAAATAGACCTAGATTAGAAGCAACATGTAGCTAGAAAGACCTCTGGAAGAACCAAACGCGAGCTCAAATTTGTGTCAATTCTTGGTATAAGACCTCTGGAAGAACCAAATGCGAGCTCAAATTTGTGTCAATTCTTGGTATAAAACAGATAGATTGGTTTAAAGTTATTTAAGTTGGTGGTTAATAGATGAACATTTTGGTAGTGTTTTGATAAATTCGCAGAAATCATCAGCACCTGCACCTGTAACAAATTCCTTCCAGTCTAATGTGTATTTTATCATTTTTATTGTCACCATAGTGGCATGGCTTTTACATCTACATTTTTCACTTTTGCTATTTGGTTATGAGGTTTTTTTTTCTTCAATTTACAGAAACAATCTATGTCCGTGTCTACGAGGAAAGAATGGATCTGCTTCGAGCAGCAATTGTAGGTGCACCTGGAACTCCATATCATGATGGACTTTTTTTCTTTGACATTTGTCTACCCCCACAATATCCTGATGAGCCACCTGTAAGTAAGCCTTTTTAGTTGAGTATTTAATCAATGGTATTTTGTGCAAGTAATTGCTTATTATAGAACATCGTAAGTGATTTACAGAATTGGTGTCCTTTTTACTGAGTGATGCGCTGAGATGATAATTATATGTGTGTATATATATAGAGAGAGGGAGATGATGATGATGGAAACATTGTAATTGACATGAAATATGTGCAGATGGTGCACTATAACTCTGGTGGACTTCGCATCAATCCCAACTTATACGAGTCAGGAAAGGTCTGTCTTAGTATCCTCAATACTTGGACGGGTTCAGGCACAGAAGTTTGGAATCCAGGATCCTCCACAATTCCTCAAGTTCTCCTCTCCCTTCAGGCCCTTGTACTCAATGAAAAGCCTTACTTTAACGAGGCTGGATATGATGCACAGATTGGCAAAGCTGAGGGTGAGAAGAACTCAGTTAGTTACAATGAAAATGCTTTTCTTGACAGCTGCAGATCCATGATGTATCTTCTACGAAAACCGCCAAAGGTAAATTAGTTGTTCGAGTATGCTTTATTCTGGCAATGGTATCACTTGGAGAATGCACCTTACTCTCGGCAAACACATAATAAAACACATATATAGATGCTCAGTATAACTTTTTGTTCACATCAGAATGATGTTACATTATGTTCTGCATGCTGTTGGATAAATTTTTGAAACTTCCTTTCATTTTGAATCAAACGGTGCAGCACTTTGAGGAACTTGTGAAGGAGCACTTCAAGGGACGATGCAAGAACATTCTATTGGCTTGTAAAGCATATATGGAAGGAGCTCCAATAGGTTATCCATTCGGAGGCAGTAAGCCCGAACATGAAAATCAGAAAGGAAGCTCTACTGGATTCAAGATCATGCTCGGAAAGCTCTTCCCTAAGCTGGTGGAAGCATTTTCCGATAATGGTGTTGATTGTAGACAAATGTTGGACCAGGTTCAGTAGCCTCTGCCTATATGTAAGAATGACATTATCTAATGTAAAATATCATCTTGATGATCAAAGGTGTGTATGTTTGATGAATAAAATTTTTAAAAATGTATAAAAAAACTCATCAGGGCTAGTACTATATGTCTATCAGGCTATCAGTGCTGTATGGCTTGCAATCAATTCTGTACTATAGAAGACATTTCGTGTTCATTGTAAGATATGGTGTCGTGTAATAAATTCGGTTTCAGTGAAAGATAATTTATTGTGTAATCTTTTGTTTGCGTTTTCTTATTTGATTGGCTACTTCTTGAGCTTTATTTACGATGAAGTCGCTCTTACCTAAGTTTGATATCAGATAGTAAATAGTATCCCGAAGTGTATCCGAAATTAGACTAGTTTAGGTATGTTGGAGAAGTTTTAGTCCCAGTCTCCAATTCCGAAAGTAAGCTAGGAATGACCTGGATTTCTAGGTATACACTCCCACGTGGTGTGCGACTGTCCAGAAATTAGGACTTTCCCTTTCTTTTGACTACAAAGAGCTGGCCTTTTGCTTTCATTAGTTTGGTGATATAAAATAATTCCCCACAATTTTATTATTTCATATATTTCATCATAAAATTATATTTTTAATACTCTGTGCACGAAATAAATTGAACTTTGTTGAATGTACATGGATTTTGTACATACAACTTGGCATTCTGTCATTGGACACTGCTCAAAAAAATGCAATGTTGGCAATCAATGCAGTGTTGGCAACAATGCATTTGTAATCCTGTACAAGTCGTTTAATCCAAATAAACTTCAATGATATAAGCTATTTGTAAATTATTTCAGAACTTATAATCTTAGTCATGTATTTTTAACATCTAGCGTATGGTATTTTACACCCAAGCTTGAATTTATTTTGACGTTAATGCATAGAAAAAATGGCAAAAGAAAAAAAAAAAACAGAGACCTAATTCAATTATTAATATTATAGAGGAATTGATCAGATATTATCAATGTTCTAAAAATTAAATCGTCGAAAAACAAAATTTCAGATAATTAAATACTTTTAATAATTCTTGATGTTATAAATAATTATTACAGCTACAAAACTTGGGGATAATATGGGTTATTAGCACAAAACGTTCTTGCATTTAGCTATTATTGTGCAAAATGTCCATATCTTTCATTTTTTTTAGTATTTTCACCCTTAATTACATATTTGATTGCGTAAAAGGTAATTCCATCAATTTCCATGCAATTTTTAATTTAAGTGAAGGGTATTTTCATTTTCATTTTTTTTCCCTCTCTTCCCCATTTGAACCCATTTTTTCCTCTGTTTAAACTTTTGAAAAATTAACCATTTAAGTCGTTGATTCAATTATAGACCCGTTTAATAAAATGTAAAAAATTTATCTACTTATTAACATGTCTAAATAATATTCAACTATTACGTACGCATACCTACCGATTCAAAATGATAGATATAAACGAGATTTCTTTGTTGAGTGTTTGATAAATTTTTGAGATTTTAAGGTTGAAGCAGATGCAAAATGATAAAGTTTTTATCTGTGTTGGAGAAAATAGATAAGAAAAGTATCTTGATTTTGAAATTTTAAATAGAAAGTTTTTGATTTTTTACACTTACTAAAAGTGTATTATTGTTTTTTGAACAAAGCCACATTTTTGTAATTTAATAACATTCTTAAGGGTGTGTTTGTCTTTTAACATGCAAAAGACCATTGTAGCGAATACATTTTGAGTTGATATTATGGGGAAAATGGGGGATTTGGCTTGGCCAATTTATAAAGTACCCTACAAAATTATGCTTCGTAAGTCTTGTGATTTTATTGAGGGCATTTTGGAAATTAGACACGCTTGTTGAGGACCATTTGTGATACTTAAAAAAAGAATAATGCTATTTAAAATCAGTGTCGTTAGAGCACCGGTCTAAATGGTTACACTTAATATATTCAATTAAATGAATCATGTAATATTGCATTTAAATAAACACATCAATTAATATTATGTAATTGTCACGTAGACAGAGCATTTAACACCAGTGGTGATGAATATCATTATTATAAAAAAAATGAATAATGATATCTAATATCAGTGGTGTTAGAGAGCCAGTTTAGATGACTACATTTGCTATGTTTAATTAAATAACGACATGCCATCAACCACTTAGTTGTTAGATACACGAATATTTAAATTACTAATAATGATATCTAATACACTGATGCTACAATACCAGTTTAGGTAGTATTAAGTGATGACTCAATGAAAGATAAAATTAAATGATTTATTTAATTATATCTCTTATTTAATGTTGATGACTCAATGAAAGATAAAATTAAATGATTTATTTAATTATATCTCTTATTTAATGTCATATTAATGCCGACTGATGTTTAAATAGCTACAAAACATGTTAGGAGCCAAAATCCTTAAAACACTGGACAAGGCCCAATTCGTAAAAACCCCACACATTATCTCACTGAAATTAGTCTCTTACTTTTATTGGGCTAAAGTAAATAAACACGAATCAATATGACCCACTGGCAGCAACTTAAGATTATGTGGGTTAGGTCTAACTACCATTCAGTTTTAAAAAAGTATGCTATGTAGTATCACGAATTTTAAGCACCCTTCTATATGGAAGTGAAGTTCACTATCTCATTGTCCGATGATACTGTATTGCATTACTCGAGATTTAATGTCAACGGGCAGTTTAGTTACACTGTTTAAGTTTTCCTCTTGGTCTCTCTACAACTTGAATCACAAATATCAAGTATGGCATACCAAAAAAAAAAAAGAAAAGAAAAGAAAAGAACTTGCAAAATCCGTTCTTCGGCATAAGCTGACCAAATAGTTTTAATTGTTACAAGCTACATGAGTGAAACTTTTGCTCAAGCCAGAAAAAAACTATTTTGACTTTCCATCTGGTTCACCCAAGTCTGGCAAACTAAACTTTACCAAGAACAACACTCAGTAATGGTAAATATGATCGCTGTACATATGGGCCGTCATATTCAAGGATTGAAGCATGGCCTCTCCTTGTTTATTAAAGCTGAAAATAGATAATCCACCATTGTTGATGTCAATTGCGCGGAACCTGGACAAGTAATCAACTGAAAATATCAGGAATAAAGAATCCGTTTCTTGTAGGAAGGTTTCCTGGGATTTGGAAAAGCGTGGCAATACTACATATTGCTGGAAAAAGAAAATCTATTAGTTCCATTACTTAGAATAGCTTTCTCGCCGGTCAACAATAGATTAATGATATGCATTAGCCCCCATTATGTTGATGTATTTGTGATGATTTTCGGGGCAATTACTCCATTACTTATGCATCACTATCTGAAATGACATACAATCCAAGCTTAAATAAACTCTTGCTCCATATTTGGTACACAGTACTAGATGGTAATGGACCATACAACGAACAACATTTCAGCTTATGTTTCTCTTTAATATTGTTAGTATTGTCTATTCTACCCAGGGCAGAGCTAAGATTCTAGAGTTGTAGGGGCATATTTCTATAACTAAAATCTTGAGGGCAAAATCTTGATGTACAAAATTTTAATTGTAGAGGCAAAATGATAACTACAAGGAATTTAAAATAAGATTTAGTGCCTGTCTGGTTCTGCTGAAAATCAGCCAAAACTGGCTTTTTTTGACCGTTGAAGAGGGCAACGGTTATAATTCAAACAAAGTGGCTGCTTTTTGTGTCTGATGGTCAAAGGCAAACGGTCCAAAAATCAATTTTGGTAAATTTTAATCACCTCCAGACAGGCACTTAAAGTATTTGAAATTGAATGTGGGGGCAGCTGACCCCACTACCCCCATACTGAATCCGCCCCTGATTCTACTTACCAAACATGCCAATAATGTTTAAAAATACTCGTATGGTTTATTCAAAACAAGAACTCAACGTCACCCAAGGACAGTTTCGATTCTTGACATACCTCTCAGGTCCTAGTCCAAGAGCCGTGCAGATCAATGCCCTCAGCATCGATTTGTGAGTTACAACCAAGAAATTTTCTCCCTGACCAACAAAAGCACAAAGAATTGTGTTAAATTTTATGTAGAGAATTGGCATTGTAATTGACATAAATATTGTCAATGGATAGGTCTTACGGGTGTAAAGAGTATTTCCAACCAAGCTTCACGAGCCGTTTCCCACAGTTTTCGAAGAGGATAGACACCATTAACGCAAAAATTCGAAGGATCTTCTCTCCACATGGTGAACTCTTTGGGATATTTCTTCCTGGCATCCACTGCCTCCAAATACTAAATATGATTTACAAAGTGAAAATACCTAAGGATGATTTAGGAAGTAGAAACCAAAATTCAATGTGATCTTAAACCATGTGTAACTTTAAAATCAATCACATTTCACTATAAAATATATTGAAGTGATATTTTGCATAGTAAAGAATAAAGATTGAATTGACTCTAACGATAGGGAGTGTGAGGCGAGAGACCATTTCTCATCCCTTCAAGAAAAAATAGATGAGCCTCCTTCAGCGAGTCAAGGAAAACCAAAGGCTGATCCCTCTCTTGCCACAAAATTTCAGCAGTGGACTGCATTGTACACAGGCAGTTGAGAAGTAGACAAATTACAAGGCATTGGCTGACTTAATTATAGCAATCAAACCTTGGCACGAGATATTGGACTTGAAAAACACTGATCAAAGTGAATGTCAGCTAAGGCCATTCTGCACCTTTCTGCTTGTGCAACCCCTGCTTCGGATAAGACCGACTGATTTGAGCTGCCCTACATGCATAACGATAAGGTGAGTTGGAATATCATGACTTCTCAAGGCAAAAGTGAATGAGGAATTCTTCAAGTTCGAGATTTGATTTTATTTGAAGAATGTCTTTTATTTGAATCGATTAACAAGATTGATATTGTATTCCAACTTCAGAGTGTTTTAGAAGCAATGCTTAAACACTAAATTCTCCATAATGATGGCATGTTGACATTCACACTCTCAACAAGTAAGCTATTTTCATTCTGAAAAACTTTGTGAAATTTTTTCTTATTCGTTTGTTTAATTATTTCAGTCAAAATTGTATTTCAAACTATATTGGATGTTTTTGTAACATGTATTGTGATGAAAATACACAAAACGATTTAAAAAGTTAGTATTGACATAGTTACATGATATCCACATGTTAATTATTGTTAAGATTTCAAGTGGAAACAATATTTAAAATATTTTTTAATTTTAGCAGACTTCGAGTTCAGACTCTGCAACAATAATGAACACAAAGAATATTACTTATACATGCAATTGATGAACTACGAGAAAGACATTTTCTTTATACAAAAAGATACTAAATTTACAACTGCAGTATATACACATCTGAATTTGATATGCTTGGACCATGGAATCACAACTTTATTTTCCAGCTAGGTAAATTAAAACATAAAGATAGCTTAGGAAACTTCGAAATTCAAACAAATTAAATATTTTGTATAGTTTCTAGAAGCTGAAAATGCAGCTAAATAATTCAGACGATAAATCTAACTATCTAAATATGTTACACAGAGTTCATCATGAAATGTAAGCTTTTGTCAGTCTAGGAACGACATTTATAAGTCTAAGGAACATAAGAATGTAAAAGAGAATCAGAGAAACAAACCTGAACTCTACCTTCTTTATTCCAAGAGCTAAGACCATGCCGTACAAGAGTTACCTTCTTTGGTGAGGACAACAACTTCTGAGTCAGTGAAGTTGTTGCTCTTTGGAAATCATATGCATCACCAGTCAACAGAGAACTATTTTCAAGTTCACCTGTGGTGGATGCAAATAGAGCCATTTTGAGTTGTTATATTGATTAAAAACAAAGGTGTGGGCAGACAGAAGGGAGAGAGATGTCATAATGAATAAGAGACAAGAACGCAGAAAGATCAAAGACCTTCACTTTGGGCACTGCTAACTACCTCCCAGCATTTAGCAGACACATTCATCGATGAGTCTATCACTGTTGTTACACTCAATGCTGCCATTCACCTGTTACTCTATGACGTTCTATTTTATCTGATAAAATTGAAGCATCAATTTTTTTCCCCACAATTTCAGCAAATATCTTTTTATTTTACAAAATTATGAACTTCTAGCTCAATCAGTTGCTATGATTCCACATCTGAGACTACTGAATATATTTACATTTCGAGATAAAAGAATCGGGACAATACAAATGCACCTGACCATCAAGCAAAAAAAGATGAACTTAATAAGAATGGCTTTTCAACGGATATGATGGCACTAGAGAGTATATCATGATTCATGATATGACATCTATATTTTACACAATCAGGCCTTACATCTACACACCCCTTGGAGACTTATTGCCACCTTCATCTATCAAATTGATGGGATGTATGAGCAATGCAACACACAAGAAAATGCTTGCTGCTTAAAACATGATCAGCAGTGCCACTGCAAACTTAGTGGTATGCAGCTTCTGACTCTAACTCTCCAAATTACATAGTAGAATTCCCTAGCCCAGCCCGCTTATCCGCAAGACACAAACAAACAATATAATTCGTTAAATCGTATGGTATAAAATGCGACAGGCTCACAAGGCACACATAGCTGCATAATCCAATACCCATTACAGTCTGGAAAGTATCATTTCTTGGTTCAGTAATAAAAACAAACACATCAAAGATAATGAAACAAGCTGAAGCTTTTCTGCAATACCAATTTTGATGGGAGGGTCTGGACTTGCAGAAGAGCACGTAATTCGAAGGGTTGAACATGGGCAACCAAGAATCTTAACAGATTTTCTTGAATCGGATATTACAATTGAGGAAGACAAGAAAGGAGACCACCTTTCTCGACATGTTAAGTAATTTGATAAACTCCGCCTGAATGCTAATTTTCTGTTAACTCAATTTCGATTTGCTATTGCTAATTGAAATATCGCTGAATATTTTTGGGCATTGCCATGTGTGATGAGGAATAGCCATTCATTGAATGAGTATCTGATTATATGGTTGCGGTTGATCGGCTGTCAACTGGATTTTGCTAACTTAGCTGGATATATACTCTTTCCGTTAGTAGAATATTCTTGAATAATATTTTTGGTCTAAAAATATAAGAAAAATGCTATTCATCCCCAATGAGATTCATCTCCAGTCTATGTGGATGTAAATGATTGGTTAAATGATAGGTGAAATTAAATAACTATCATTTAATGCCACATTAACACCACATAGACTGAGAATGCATCCCCAGTGTGGATGAATAGCATTTCTCAAAATATAATAATTCCTTTCTTTGAATTTATTTATTTATTTTTTTGGACCATCGTCTTGCATAAATGTTATTCCAGCGAATTACTGAATAATTTTTTAACGTTAAGATGAAGAAAGAAGGATCCGTTCGGTTTGTGTAATATATCAACACTTTCGGGGTGTGAACTATCCCGTGCTGCAAAATTTCTCCGCCAAACTTGTGATGTAAAGCGAGTTCAATTATCGTTTAAAGGTTATCGAAAAGGCCGGAGAGAAAGTGTTAATGTTTTAACTGCTTGCGGACACAGTTTAGAGCTAGGGATTCTTTTCCAGGCAAATATATGAGCAAAGGTGCAAAAATGCCTCGCCCTTATTTAGTTCAGCTAAAAATAAGAATTTGATCAAAATTAATGAAATCTTTCATTGAAAAGTTAATAAAAGTTGTGAGTATCATAAAATATATGATTAAAAATTAATTCAAAAAAAAAATGAATTAGAAAAATTAGATTAATCGAGGCTTCAATCACAGTGCATACTTGCTATTATGAATGTAATCTTAAAGATTATTTAGTTTGTACTCTCCCTTATTTAGTTTCTACTCTATTTTAGATTATTATCCACATGGTTTTTTAAAGATTGGATTTTGTTATTTTGAAGTCATAAATTTTCAAATTGGGTTATTACACAAAACGTCCCTCGTATGAAGTTTACTGTACAAAAAGTCCCAGCGTTGCTTTTTTTTTTTGCATTTTCACATTTATTTACACATTTAATTGTGGAAATCATTCCTTTTCATCCAATTTATAAAAAAAAAATAATAACGAATATACCATTCTTTTTAAATAAAAATAAAAATAAAAATTTAATGGGATAATTGCAACAAAAGCCCCAAACCTTTGAAACACTAGCAGACTTCCCCAAACCATTGATTTGTTGCAGCCGCCACCCCTAACATTTCCAAACGTTGGACGTGAGGCCCTTTTGGATGGTTTCCGTCAAAGATACTGTCAGTTGACCCAAACAATTAAAGTATGACTATTTTTGACCAATTAAATAAGGGTAAAATGGTAACTTTATAATATTACCATATAAAATATAATTTTAAAAACTTTTAAAAAATAAAAAAAGGGAAAAGGAAAAAACTTTAAATTTCTTCTCCTTCTTCCCCAACCCTACCCCTCGCCCCTACCCCAGTTTCCAACATGGATGACGTCCAGTAAAAAAAAGTTAGGTGATTAAGCACCATGGCTTGCAGCAGAAATCCCAATTCTAGTTGATTTTGGCATGATTAAGCACAAAGACGATGCATCATCATCCAATGAATCTTGAAGATGAATCTCCAAGTTAATCTGGAACTTTTCAACAACATTTTGTCGCAAATTTCACGGTCTTTAGTGGGCGAAACCCATGTAAGAAAATTGTTTCAATATTGGATACCGGATTCGCAGTAGCAGATTACAATGGATTCAAATATACACAACAGATTTAATATAGTAGTAGATTCGACAATATATGTTAAATTGCAGTAAAGTTTAAAAGTTGATTTAAGCAGAACTACAAAAAAAATTTGCATAAACGAGTGACTAATAAGTAATCGCAGAAGTTAAATGACAGCAAACTTTTAACTCGAGGCCTGTGTTTCACGCAGTTTCCTTAAAACAGATTCGCTCCCTCACTATCTGTGCTTGAGGTTTAACAGAGAGTCCGTTTCCCAGGATACAACGGCGAAACAGTATAATCTGAGCACCACAGATTGTACTCCGGTGAACTGAACCAGTGCCCGAACAATATCACCAAAAAAGACAAAGAAACAGAAATTAAAAACGAGAGCAGACTCCAACTGTGACCAGATGAATATGCAGATGAATTTTTCGTGTACTGAAGACTGGAAAAACGAGATATATATAGGCTTAGGATCTTGTAACCTGCTCATTCATTTCATAGCAATTACAACAGGAATTTTGGAGTTTCAACAGTTTTGGAAAACCAAAAGTTTATTGAAAAAATTAAAAAATGTAGCAAAATGTGGACACTCCTAAGGGGCCAATTTTGCTCCTTTCGGTCCGACATTCGTGTA